GGTGCATTTTCAATCTTAGATGAAAGAGCATAGAATTTCAAAAAGGGAAAACATAACAACTTCACCGCCAATCTGAGTGTAATTTAGCTTGGATGCTCTGTTTACAGTAAGCATTGTAGGATGCACTAAAAAGGGGTGTCGTAGCAATTGTAAAATAGATTTAAAGCACCGAACAAGAGATCCTATCTATGTATACGTACTTCTTCCTTGCGCCGAGGTTTATATATTTGTAGTAGCTGAACACATAAATTCAATGTAGAACTGCGCTCTGTGAATACTAGCGAGGAGGGGAGACCCCATATGCTTATAAGTCGTGTAGACCCAACTGAAGAGCAACACCGTGAGAGGCCTCGGGCTCTCTCTTCCAAAAGACTAGCATGCCAGGAGAGGATAACCACACCATTATAAGTCATGTTAGTCTTCTATCACAACAGATGGCAGACTATACCCAACAAGGATCACGCATGAGAATCAAGGTGCCGCATGCATGCATGAGAATCAAAGGGTCATCATCGGCTTGTTTCCACACTAGAACGTATGCCTGGACTAGTCCACATGAGAATCAAAGGCTGCCGGTGTGACGATCGATCCAGAACGGCGACTAGTCGGGTGGCCTGACCTCTGAACGGAGACTAGCAGGTAGTAGCTGCACACAGTACGTGCATCTTGCCGGCTTCAAAATGCCATGCAAACATGCATGCATGCCACAAGGCTGGTTCAGCGTGCATGCATCCAGCTCGTGCTGTATCAGCCAATAAATTCCCAAAAAAGATTTGATATGTTATATGTACTTTACTTGGTAGTGCTATTTTCTTCCAAACATTGCAATAATTCCAGTGACACTATAAACATTCATATTTTCCAAATTCAAGAAGTTTGACTTTCTTCAGTCACTCATTATTTGTTCCAAAACAGTTAGAAATGCAGGTTACAGATTATTTTTCACACCCAGTTCAACAATTACATTCATATTTTCAAGCAAATTCACAAACACTCATCCATTTCACACTATTTTCATATTTTAACTTTCAATTCTTTCACTTGAGTTATTCCAATTTTGCATACATGTTTCATTAATTTTACTCATATTACCACACACAATTGAATTTTTTGAAATACTTACACATATTTCCACTATTTAATTCAGAAATTATTATACACATTTCCACTATTTATTTTGTATTTCAATCAATTTAAAAATCATTACACCGGCACTTGACACATATACTATTATTAGAATCATTTCGATAATTTTAGTCCTCATTTAATAAACTAGGACTTGCATTTCAATTTCTGAAACAATTCATTAATTTATTTGAAAATTTTGAAGTTTTTCATAAAATACTTTTGTAAGAAAATATAAATTGATGGATATAATGTATTTTTTTGGTATTTGTGCAAATATCTCGTGTATGCCTTGCTATATGAATGGTATTGAACTATTCCTTGAAGAATTAAACAAGTGACTCACAAAGACGGGTGTCAATTGAGCAAGTAGAGTGTTGCTATTGCCATTTATTTATATTTCCTTGAAGTTATATATAGGATGTACAGCCACGCGGATTGTAAAGGTTTCTTGAGATTGCAAAAAAATTGAAAACGTAGGAATAGGGGAAATGTATATTTTAGATATCATGTACTACAAATTCGTACAAGATTTCAAAACATATTAGTTTTCGAGATGGGTCTTTTGATCGTGCATAGGAAATATACACACGCAATCCCAAAGGAAAAATAAAATGAGGGTTCTTTCGTATACAATTGGGGGGGGGGGTAGGAATGGATTACATAAAGAAATCCCTGCAAAAAAGAATTTTACACGACAATAGTATCCCTAATACTATGATCTAAAGG